ATATAAAATGTCGACAATTCACCCATCGAACCCTGTATTTCTCGACAAGGTAGCAAACGAATTCGAGAAAAAGTTTTAAGTTGTAAGAAGTTGTAAGAAGCCAGAATGTATGGTCGTTAGCAAAAGAGACAGACCAAAATGCAAGCTACAAATTGGAGACGTCAAAATGAAGACGGTACTGAAATTTAACGAAAAATGTGACACTGAAATCCTAACGTGGATCGGCATAGCGAAAGAAGCCGTCCAAAGGCCAATTCAGATATTAAGAAACAAGAAAATTTTGTTGGAAACAAAGAGTGCTCCACTGTTACTGTCAATCTTCTTGTATGACAACGGATGCTGGAAAACGTTCCCATAGGTGACGACGAGATTTGAAGAAATAGAGATGTGGTTCTACAGAATCATGATGGTAATACCATCGACGCACCATGAGAGAAACAAAGAAGCTTTAAGGAAAATAGGAACAAAAAGAGCACTTGTATTTAGAATCAGAAGGCTTGGAGAATTTGGTATTCGCAGGGCGTTTTGAAATAAGAGGAACAGAGCGAAACAGCGAGCTTGTGCTAACGGATGACATAACAGGTATTGGGCGGGATAGTAAGGAGGCAAACACTCTTAATATTTACAAAGGATAAGAAGCCATGATCGCCTACACCCTGAATGGACACGGTATATTGAAGAATGCTATATATATATATATATATATATATATATATATATATATATATATATATAAAATGTAGATTAATTATGGGCAAACTGCCGCTGACACGGGACCCGATTGGCTTTCTGAATGGCGCGCCTAATTTCATGAAGCAAATAAAGTTTATTAAACTGTTATTTGCTTACTTTCGTTCTCCCTTGTTCACTCACACACTCTCTCATGCATAACCACATACATAAACAATGATTAAATACAATGTTTCTTGAATTTTGTAACTTTTCGTTGAAGGTAACGTTGTCAGTATTTTAAACCATAAGCGATTTTCACTAAGGAAGATCATACGTGTAAACATCATTTGCTTCAGAAACCGGAAACGTCAGTGGTAATTATTTTTCTCTAGAGAATAAATATACTGTATTTGACTGCATATAAGATGCATGTATGCATAAGACGCACCCCAATTTCAACAGGGCAAATCAAAAAAAATTAGAAACTAGTAAAATTAGTAAAATTATTAGTAAATGGTACAGCCTAGGTTATATTTATGAGATATTATTTTGGTTAAACAGGCCATGATTTCACTTAAACGAAAAATAATAGGAAAAAGAACACGAGCCTATAAAAACTTTATTATATTCTTTATATGATCTGTACAAATGGCGTCTTGTAAACGTCTTATTGGAATAATTAGGATATAAAAATTCTGTTTGTATTTATATCAATGCAATCGAGAATTATAGCAAGAAAAATATTAATGAAAGAAATATATATTTTACAAATATATAATTTGAATTTATTGCATATAATTTTAGTGAAACAACGTGATGAAATTAATATAATGAATATTATCAATGATAATTTTAATCTGCATAACAGCCTTTTAAATCATAACAATGGGTATATGAAAGTACTCTAAAGTCTAAGCTAATTTCGGCCGACTATCGCGAATTTTAAAACATATATAAGACGCAGGGGAATTTTAAAAGATATCTTTAGTAAAAAAAAGTGCGTCTTCTCTTACAAATATTTTCGTATACTCATAAGAATAAAGAAGATATACAGCAGTGTGTGTTAACCATTCTGCTATCAGTGATAATATTATACCAAGATTTCACATCTTTTATGCGCATGCTCTATGGTTGGGAAAATGGCTACGGTATCTTTAATGAAAATTTTTTATTAGAGCGGCCCGCCTTATGATAAACTGTGCCTAGTGCAGCCCTCAGTTCGAAAAAGTTTTCTCATGCCTGACGTAAATACTTAAATTTTAAGGATAATACTATGATTAAAATAAACGTATGCGTGTCTGTTTAATGATTATCCTTGTATGCATACCGATAGTGCATCCCCAGTGTACAAGGTACAGACACTGGGGGTCTGCGCCTTTCAAAAACGCTAGCAAATGTACGGCTACGCTTCCTTACATACAAACACCTTTCCGGTCATAACCAATACGTAATATAGATTTAGAATTTGAAATCTTACTATAATAATAGATTTATATCATGCCTACAGTATTAGCTGTAATATGTCTGTCAATGGCGGTATCTACTTACCACGACAGATAAGTATACACAGATTAGCGTAATCGGATTAAGGAGAGCGTCCAGGTCGACTGGCATGTCCTGGCCGGGATAATCCCCGGATTCAGGTGTCAACGAGTGAGATAATCAACCAAGCAGTCATCGGCAGGAATGGTTTGAATCAAAGAGAAAAGTCTTATCGGAATATCTTGGGTTGCTTTCAGTCAGGAATCAGTTCTTGCTCCTTCGACCGTATACCCATCTTTCCCTCTTATTTTATCGATTGATCTTTCTATCGATTTAACTAGTTATTGATCTTCCTTTATTTTGCTATCACTTATTAAGGATACGTGTTTATTTCTCATTCTGAATTTATATGCATATAAAAATACAGTTACGTGCCTGCGTATGTGCGTGCGTGCAGAGAGAAATGAAGAATGAACGAACGGATGACAGTATGATACAGGTATTGAGGATTTTACAAGCACGCGAGTCTAATTCTGCTACAGGTGGTGGGGGATATTTTATGGCACCTATTTATGTATAGGTCTATCTGACCTAAAATTCGTGATACGAAAGCTAAGCCTTTACGTGAGCTTGAACACTTAATCACAAGAACTAGAATTGTGCAACTACACTAGTCCCCAGATATGTTATCAATAGATTTACGAAATCAGATTGTGGTAGGATTATAGATAATAAGTAGAGTGAGATAGATAAACAGACACATATATATATATATATATATATATATATATATATATATATATATAGAGAGAGAGAGAGAGAGAGAGAGAGAGAATGGAGACAGTGATAGATAGATAGATAGATATGATATATATATATATATATATTAGATATATATATATATGAACTGACATAGCTAGCTAGCTAAATATAAAAATAGATAGATATATATTAAATGACTTATAAACACACACACACACACACACACACACACACACACACACACACACACACATATATATATATATATATATATATATATATATATATATATATATATATATATATATTATATAACGGACCCTTCCATCGAGTTCGACGTATGAGGTTCCGACGACCACGAAAGGATTATCTGCATGCCTATGACTGGCATGATTTTTGAGACCGGCTCGAGAATTGTCCAAATGACCACAAACACTACAGGAGAATGTATTGTATCCAAGTGCAGCAGCAACACTGTTAGCTGTCTTATTTTGCTTCCGTGTTTCACGTAGTCGACTGAGGCTTACTTCTTGAGGATGCATTATTCCTGAATAATTATAAAACAGTTATTGGTTAGAGTTGAATTAAACCGGGGAATAGTTGTATTAAAAAGAGCTCTATACACATATAAAGAAAATAAAAATCTAACATGCAGATTTTAAATGTTAAAATCTAGATAAGCCTTTCACGCTACCTTGGTTTCAACCTTTCGATATCCTCAGGCGATTTAGGCCAAAAGATTTCCTAACGCTTTATTATTTATAAATAATAAATTATAAATGAGTGGGTGATCACATTCCTTGTTCCAGTGTCTTTAACGAACCCACACTGTTTTCGTCCTATTTCAGGTCTGATTCAGCTGAGTGCTCTATTCATCACAATTCGGATGATAAAATTTTGTTATATGGGTCATTAGGCTGATTACCCAGCGGAGTTTACATATGTTTGCACCTGGATTCTTAGTACTATAAAAATATACCTACTTAGGTCGTTCCGGTATATCACCACTGTTGTAGATTTAATTTATTATTTCTGTAATCTTTTCTATGCCGAAATCCTTTAAGGCTGCCAGCATTTTTATTATAATTCCGTCTGGCCCTGCCGCCTTGTTTCTGTTCAATTTGTCCAAACGCTGATTCTAATTTCAATATTTCTGGTCCTTCGTTATTTCTGTATATTCCCGGTTGTTCTCTTCCTTTGTTAGTTTTTGATATGTCCCGGAAAGGGATATATTTGATCGAAGCGGTTTTGGCTACTGTAACCAAGTACTACACGGTAGCAGTAATCGACTGGTACTCGTCGTAGTCGCAGGTAATAAGTGTAGACCAGTAGAATAGCCAATAGCGTAGTCCAGTGGGCGTCGTTATAGACTTACACTCTGTCGTACCTACACGTCCGTCTGTATTTATGACGGACACCAGCCAATCCTATTCCAGTGAGGGGGAACACAGGTGTATGCATATTCCATTATGTCAGTTTTCTTATTTTTTCTTCATATCTGCTTAATTTTTGATACGCTTTCTTTTTATTTGTAATTTTACTGTAATAAATAACATTTAAGGAAAACTAGTAAAAATGATTAATAACTGACAATATTTCATCTCAAACAATAAAATACTGTTTCATTTAATACTATTAGAGTAATAACAAACAAGAAGAATGAGATGTTAAATTAGCCGTTTCCATACAGAAAACATTAGGCATTCATTGATAAAACAGCGATATTGTCGGTTGGAATTTATAACATTTATAAAATCTGCCTCTTAAAATAGTTTTTCAGGAAAATAAGTTTCCCAAGTCGACGAATTGTTATCGCTCTATCCAATACTAATGGGGGGCTTTCTTCTTAACCTTTTGTTTAAGGTATTGTAGAAAGTCAACGTCTTGATTATGTTATTATTTTCCACTCGACTTCCATTTGCAATCCGTTTTAATAGTTGCCGACTCTTAGAATTCTTCCAAAGATGTGGATTTTGCTCTTCGGTACAGTTCTTTGTGTGTGATTCTGTAGAGTCAGTTTAGGTGATCTGATAGTCGCCTTTAAGACCAACAGAGTTCATTTACTTGAAGCCATTTTTAATCGCTTACGGCCATATTACGTCGAAACACCGATTCTCATGCGATCACCGAAGTTAAGCAACGTCGAGCCCGGATGGGTGACCGCTTGCGAACACCAGGTACTACAAGTTTGTATATGTTCAGTTGGTACAATGGATGACGCGTCGGAATCGGGTTTGTTATATTCACTTACGCACTAATACCCTTGGGAAAGGTAAGAATCCCACCCCTCCAGCTATAATTTAATTAGAGAGACTTGTGTCAGTAAATCATTGTTTTTTTGAAAAAAAAAACAAACTTATTAAAATCTAAGCAACTATTTTTTAATACTAATGACCTGAGAAAACAGGTAATAAAGCCACTAAGACGCAAGTGGAAAAGAGATGCATTCGTGTCATTCTAAAAGTATTTGTGCGAAATACAATCTCACTTTCCCCGCAAAAATGGTGCAATACGTCAGCGAGTTCACATGCCGTTCTTGGTTGCATTTTTACCTCAGTGTTTCAGTCTATAATGTTCAATCAATGCGGTTAATATTCACCAGTGAATTAACCCATTGTTTCCTAAGCCCCATTTCCCTTGTTGTCCCAGGGTCCGAACACTATATCTTAATTAATTTTGGTACAAATGACGTTGTTTTAACATGGTTTCATATATGAGGCAAGGATATCATAGGTAGTATTTGTTACCCACAACCCACCGATGTGTTGTTCGGTACTTGAGTCCAATTTACAACCCAGAATCCCAAACCACCCACACGAATGCATGGTACTGTTCTGTGTATGGTTTTTATATACAAAATAACCCCCAAAAAATCAACAGTAGAAATTCCAAAAGGAAAACAAAATAAAAGACAAACAAATCAAAAATATTTAAATTTTGGGAGAAAAAAATGTAGTTCTGTTGTACCATGATATCATAAGCAATCAATCATAGCATCACAGTCCCAATAATTTTCATAGAAAAGAAATTGGCAAACGGCCAACCGGAGGGTCGTGTGGTCCTTGCATACATACCACCACGACCCACCGGAAGGTCGTGTGGACCTTGCTGATATAGCACCACAAGCCTCCGTTACGTCGTTTGGGCCTCACAGATATAATACCACGACCCACCGGAAGGTCCTGTGAGCCCTGCTGAAAATACCACCACAACCCTCTGGTGCATCGTTTGGGCCTCGCAGATATACCACCACGACGCACCGGAGGGGCGTGTGGCCCCTGCTGATATACCACCACAAGCCTCCGATACGTCGTTTGGGCCTCGCAGATATACCACTACGATCCACCGGAAGGTCTTGTGGGCCTTGCTGAAATACCACCACAAACCTTCAGTGCATCGTTTGGGCCTCGCAGATATACCACCACGACACACCGGAGTGGCGTCCAGACATACCACTACGACCCACTGTAGGGTCGTGTCGACCTTTTAAACATACCACCACAACAAACCAGAAGTTTGTGTCAGCCTTGCAGACATATCTCCATTACCCTCTGGTGGGTCGTGTAGCCCTTGCCAAAATACCACAAACTGTGGGCCTTACAGACATACCACCACGACTCTCGGGGTAATGTGGGAACCAAAGTATTAATTGAATTAAAGAGATATTGTGGAAAAATAAATATTTGGTGGGGAAATGAATTCCATCGATAAGATAAGGACTTATAAATGCATCCACATACGAGTATCGAGTGATAAGTCTGTAGGTTGGCACGTAATTATTTGGTGAATGTTGTTCTGAAACTCTCTATATATAATGTTTGATCTGTGTGGCAAATAGATACTGCCAGATTAAGCATATTAATAAGAAAGGGGACTATTATTTACAATGGTTATCAGTAAAAAGATGAGCCCAAAATGCAAATTGCAAATAGAAGATACCAAAATTAACCGAGCGCAAAAATTTATATATCTAACAGAGGACAGAAAATCTGACCCTGAAATCCGAAGATGTATCGTGATAACCAAAAATGCATTCCAAAAGCTAAGCAAAGTATTAAGAGACAGGAAAATCTTGTTAGAAACAAAGAAAAGAGTACTGAACTGTTACGTGTTATCTGTCCCCCATATGGCAGTGAGTGCTGAACAGATGAAGAAAAACAGAAATGTGGTTCTACAGAAAGGTGCTGAGGATACCATGGACCGAACATGTGATCAACGACTAGGTTTTGGAGAAAATGCAAACAAAAAGGAAACTTACTTTATATCAGGAACAGGCAGTTGAAATTTCTGCAACATGTAATGAGGAAGGAGGGCTTGGAAAAGCTGATACCCACGAGAAAGATTGAGGGAAAAGGGGGCAGAGGAAAGCAACGCGTGATATACTTAATGGGTTTGAGCAAATGCATGGCAGAACGGGGTTTGGGAGAAATAACAAAAAGGCAAAACTTATTAAGAGCTCCAAAGGACAGGAAGATGTGGAGAGCTATGATCGCCTATGTCCAGAAGGGGTATGGCACAAAGAAGAAGATTTACATTTGGGGTTTGTTGCCTGAATGTACCGTCCCAATCCTCCCCTATCATTGGAACTGGAGAAGGGGTCTGTCTATATTTCTGAGATGAGGTATTACGTACATTATTTACATTATTCGGACTATTGTCCTCATCTTTGTCGCCATATTTATTATCCACTGTGCCATGTGTCCATGAAATAAAAGGCGTTAGTTAGATCCAGTGACAGGACCCAAAGAGTAAGAGTTCAATACCCGGTTAAGGAAGTGGAGAACTTTCAGAGGGAAATTAACATGAGATAACTGATAGCTGACATCCCAGTGAGCGAAAATAAAAGGTTCAGTTCGACATTCCAACCACCTGAAGAAGGCCGGAGCGTACAACGACCGAAACGTTGTAATAAATATGGCGACAAAGATGAGGAGAATAGTCCGAATACTGTAAATAAGGAGAAGGGGTTTATTCCTTGTTTACTGCTTAGGATTAGATTTCCGGTCTCTTCTAAAATCTTGTCATTCTCTTTCAATCCCAGTAAACTATTGCGGTATTATAGCCTTGCTTGGGGGTGAATTGATTAAAAATATAACGATAACTTCTCATTGTAGAAACTCAAACAGAAAAAAAGAGATTATGTTGAAAATAAATATTTATTGTGTACAATAAATAATGTGTAATCAGTAAGCTATGGACATATTGATATAGATTAAAGTGAGTTTTGGATAGTTAGTTTCTATGTCTTTCAAGTTCACGTATCGTCCGGTTCACCCTCTTGCCTAGTCTGTTTAGAATTGGGTTTCCGATTCTTTGTAAATTCTACATCAGCTCTATGCTCCCAATGCTTGTTCTTTCCTACGCTAATATACACATAGTAACCCTCTACTTTGAGTGGCTCTTGGCTTTGCATTGGGAGAACATTAGTAAATAAAAGCAATACCAAAATAGCGTGCTGTACGTTAGAATAAGAGAGAGGAACGCATCAATTCAGTAGAACAATGATAATTTATAAACATCTTAATGTGTACATGATCTGGTTACAAAGGATGAATCTGTATAAGAAAGATAACAATTCTTGAATCTAAGATCCGGACACGGATATAATCCTTGTAGATCCATCCTGATTACTTGTCCTCTGTTCTCCTCTTCTTATCAATGTTCCTGCTCCTAACTCTTCCACACCCAGTAACTTGTTGCCTCTCGCTGGTTTTACTGCTTTGATTGGCGTGAACTCAATTTAAAAAAAAAATCTGTTATCAACGGCAAATAATATTAGGTCAGCCAGAAAGTCCTGACTCACTTACGAACCGGAAAGTAAACAATAAAATTTTATGGAGCAACGTCAACATTTATTCTTCAAAAATAAAGTCGATCTTCTCTCAGTGATCAGCCAACATTCGAATCTGTCCCATATGCTAATCCTCTTTGAATCAACAAACTGTAATCATCTTCTTTCACTTCATCTAAAGTGTTGAATCGATGGTCACGGAGGAAGTGTGCCATTGTGGTAGTCACTCGGACCAGCGTCGGGACTAAATGGTGAATGTGGAAGAATCTCAACACCGTCCATCTGTTTGAACTTCTCTGTCAACCTGTCAATGTGTGGCCCAGTATTTTCTTGCTGAAACAAAGTCCGACCCCGATTGGCCAAAGCAGGATCACTCAGTTATGTGGCATGCGTGATACACGCGTAGGCGATTATGTATCTTTCGATACATGACTGAAGGGGCAGATTTTTTTCCCGCAGTAGGTTGCCATTTCTTTCTGCGGTAGACCAGTTGCAATCCAAGGCTATAGAATCCGGTCTGTCATGCTATTTACCCATAGCTGGGGGGAGAAAGAGGATTCATAACTTTCCCAAGGTTATTAGTACGTCAGTGAATGTAATGGATTCGACTGGAATTCGAACTCGGCTCTCCGATTCCTTAATCCGAGCCGCTATCCATTACTCCACCGTGCCGTACACGCGGTCTAGCTGCTGGCAGAATAGTTTAGCGTTAATGGCGTGACAGTGTGGAACAAGCCCGAAATTTAGTACTCCTTGGAAATTCCACCACGATTTGTTGTTTATGGCGCAACGCCAATATTTATTCTTCAAAATAATGTCCATCATTCTCTATGATTTTCTGCTAGCGACCAGCCAGCATGCGAATCTCTCCCAGACACCAGTCTGCTGGCTTTGAATTAAAAAAAAAACTGTAAAGAAGCTTCCTTCACTTCATCAAAAAGTGTTGAATCGCTGGTCACGAAGGAAGTGTGCCATCGAGCGAAATAGGCCATAGTCACTCGGAGCAGCATCGGAACTGAATGGTGGATGTGGAAGAATCTCAACACCGTCCATGTGTCTGAACTTCTCCTTAGTCAACCTGGCAGTGTGTGGCCTCGCATTGTCTTGCTCAAACGAAGCACGATCACGACTGACCAGAGCAGGATGCTTCGTCGCTTTAGTTTATTGCAACTGCGTCTAGTTGCTTACAATAGAGTTTAGCGTTCGTGGAGTAACCAGGTGGAAGAAGGTGGAAATGCAGTACTCCTTGGAAATTCAACCAGACATAGATATGTTGTTTCCTTTCCGTTTCCTAAGTGAGTCAGGACTTTGTGGCCAACCTAGTAGAGGTCTTCTCGGTCATAAAAACCTTCCTAATCCTTCCTGAAGGTAATCAGTACTCTGTAGACCTAGAG